TTTTACGAAAAGATATGCAAAAAATAGAGAGAAAAAGAAATTTTTGACTTTTTGGTACAGGTTGTTGGCTTTTTGATTTTTTTAGTAATTTTTTGACTTTTTGACTAAAAAAATCACTTACCAAACGAGGCCTCATTTGGAAAGTGGTTATTTTAATTGATTTTTTAATTTTTTTTTTTTTTTTTAACAAAAACACGTATAGAAAAGTAGAGAAAGTGATTAGTGGATAGCTAAAAAGCTATCATCCCAAGGCCTATTTGTTTTCAGATGTAGAATGGAGGAGATTCGTAGTGATGAGATTAATAGTAAGGGGACTGTTAGTGAGGGAATTAAGTAAAATTGTATTTGTTTTGATAATAGTTGTCAGTATAGAAATTGTTAAATTATTTTTATATAAAATAATAAAACAAATAAAAAAATATAAAAATTAAATATTAATGTTCAAAAATAAAAATGCCCAACATGTAAAAAATAAAAAAATAAAAAAATTTCTAGTGCCCTCACTATTTTTCTAATATTATCTCCACCTCCACCTCCTCAATTTCAATCACCCTTCCAACCACCATCTTAATCCCTACTTCATCTCAATCCTTTTCCCAAATTTACAAACAAACACAATACTAAATGGGTCTCATCTCTATCCTAATTCCATCCCACCCTCTACACCCCAAAATAAACGGCCCCCAAATGGGATTGTTTGTCGGACTAAGTTAAATGAAGGTGTACTGATGTAATTTCCTCTAAACAATATTACCAAAAAAAAGAATATTTTTAATTGAGGAGTAGGAATACTTATGCTGTGTTTAATTTCATTTTGATTATCTATTTTTTAATAAGAATTTTAAAAATTAAAAACTAGTATAGTGAAAGAAAAAAAAATCATTATTTTCATGTATGTAGTGTGGGGGTAGGATTAACTTATGCCTAGTGTATAAAAAAAACTCATTAATTTATGTTATATCATAAAAGATGTATTACATTAAATTTAATTATTTTAAAATTATTTAACATACATGATTATTATTGATCATTTTTCATTTAATTTTGTCTTGAAAATATAATCTTACGACTCTCAATCCAATACTATAATTTGATTTATAAATTTTTCCTAACGATGTACCGAGAATCTTAATTTTAATACTTTTTATCAACATTACAAATGAAAATAGTGGATGAGTTTTGCCAACGAGGCATGCAATGTATCTTATGAGACAGGACACTCCACAAAGTGTTGTTGGATTCGTAGGATCTACCAGGAATTTCACTCTAGCTGAATGCTATACCAATGTGCATGTCCATGGACTGGAATGTGTGTTAGAGAGTCAAAATCTCACAAAACCTTTTGAGAAACATACATTCATGTAGTCATACATACATCATAACTCTTAACCACTTCTCACCGCAAACCACCACCCTGCATCAGCATCAGAATCATTAAAATCGTGTCTCAATTAAATTAAAGATATAAATTTACAAAACAATTACCTCTATCAACTTTACTTGCAGCTTGTCAAAATTTATGTTTATTACAGTATCTCGTTATAACGAGTGAGATACTGTTCATCGCTACTTGTATGTTGCTGGATGTCAACCGGTCAACCTGTCGGGCAACAACATTTTGTTTATATATATTTCTTTTAGTAGTACCTTTACAAAGGAACATAAGAATTGTTTGGCTAGTATTTCATCAATTTAATAAAAAAAAAAATAACAAATATTTTAATAAAATTGAGTTAGAATAAAAAGTTTGATACAATGGGGTGATTAGCTTAAATAGAAAAATAGCTTTTTTAGTTATAATTTGACTAAAAATTTAAAGAAATTGGTATGGATCCTCTAACGCTCTCAACTATAGGAAAGTAAAAAATATATTAGAAAAGTTATTCTTAATGATATATAGCGAAAGTATCGAACTGATAAAGAGCTCTAATAGAGCTGCTCTAAAAGCAGTTCTAGTAAGCTGATACGCACCAAAAAAAAAAGATAAAATACAATAAAGGAAAAAAACAAATTAATCAGTGTGTTTGGTTTGAGTTTTTTGGATTAAATTTTTTGAAAATTGACTTTTTGATTTTTGTGTTTTTTTGTTTTTAGTGAATATTTTTAAATTTTAAACATTTTTTTTTTATTTTTTTAAATGCACCTTACTTAGATGTATCTAAAAGTAAAAAATTTGTGAAAAAATATTTTTAAAAATTAATAAATACATAAAAATATAAAAAAATGTACTGAATTCTTGTATTTTTTTATATTTTTGGTATTTAATGAATTTTTAAAAGATTTTTTGTTAGGTGTATTTATGATAGGTGTGTCTAAAAAGTAAAAAAAATTACTTAAAATATTAAAAAATTTAGTAAAAACAAAAAAATATGAAAAATAAAAAAATATAATTTTTTAAAAAATATTTTTTAAAAAGTGAAAACAAGCAAGCTAATTGGTTTGATGGTCAATTCTAACTATTTTTCTGAGTCTTTAAACCTAGTACTGAACTATATTGTTCCAACGTTAGCTTTGCACTTAAGCCATCCAACCACTTCACTACCTTCAACCTTCTAACTCTCATTATGTCCTCCCCTCACTCCCTCTCTCTCTCTCGAACCCATCAAACACCACTTTCTATGTCACATTTTGAGCCCAAAATGAGTGTCCAAAGTCCCCTTTCCGGTGACGGAGAAGCCGAAAACAATGTAAAAACAAGAGAGGGAGAAGGAAAGAAGCCCAAAAAAGTGCCATTGATGAAACTATTCGCATTCGCAAACGCTTTCGATTACTTTCTGATGCTTGTTGGATCGATCGGAGCGTGTATTCACGGCGCTTCGGTGCCGGTTTTCTTCATTTTTTTTGGAAAGTTGATAAACATCATCGGCATGGCTTATCTCTTTCCTGCTGCGGCTTCTCATAGGGTAGCCAAGGTATATGCAATGTATTTTTATTTTTTTGATTCATTTTTTGAATTATTTTTTTGGTCACTTGGAAATTTTATTTTAAGTTTTTAAAAATTAATTTGCATCATTTTGGTCACTTGGAAATGTTTCCTAGTGAAAAGTCACCACTCTCCCCTCGTGTTTTTTGGTTGAAATCGTCACGTTTTGAAAATTTGATGAGGGGTTTGACAAATGATTGTTTTACCATTTTTTTAAAAAAATTTTGAGAAAAAAAAATTTATGTTTATTTTTGTGTTAATGACAAAAGTTGATTGGGAAACTGTTTTATTTATTTATTTATTTTTTTGGTCAGTTAAATCAGTCATTATTGAAACTGAAAATAAAATCAAATTTTCACTCATTTTTTTATTAACATTTATTATTACTTTCTAGAAAATTACTAAAAATAACATTTGCCAAGCCCTTGTAAAACTGCAACCTCTTCTCATTGGTAAAGGGTGACCAAACAAAGGCATAACCTTTTCTTCTTTATTTATTTATATTTCCATATCTATATCTATATCTATCTATCTATCTATCTATATATTATATCTATTTATATATTATATAAAGAAAATGAGATTTCTAATTCACAAATTTTGTGAGAGTTCCAATATCTTAATCTTAATTTTATAATTTTTTGATTTAAAAAAAAATCTCAGAATTTATTGACTTCTCCCAACTCACAAGTCTTTTTGACTTCTTTCATACCTACTGTTACACCATTTTCAACTTGTCTCATACACTATGGTTAGTGATGTGATTGTTAAATTATTTTTACAAAAAATCTAAAAAAAATAATTTGTATATTAAAAAAATATTTAAAATGTAAATTCTTATTAAATCTATCTATCTATCTATCTATACTATATATTAAGCAAAAGGGGGTTTCTAACCCCAAAGGTCTGTGAGAGCTCCAATATGTCAATCCTACTCTTCTAATTTTTTGTTTTTTTTAAAAAAAAAAATCAACTTCAGCATTTATTAACTTCTCTCAACCCATAAGATTTTTTAACTTCTCTCACAATTACTGCAGTACCTTTTTCAAAACAAATAATTTGTATATTAAAAAAAATTTAAAACAAATATAAATATCTATATCTATATCTATCTATTTATTTATACATATCTTTAATCCACAAGTTTTGTAGGGGTTTCAATATTTGAACCTTAATTTTTAATTTTTTTTTGATTTTTTTTGAAAAAAAAAAAACTTGGCACTTATTAAATTCTTTCAAATCTTTTTAACTTCTCCAATTTACACAATCTTTTTAACTTTTCACATACCTATTGCAAACAGTGAGTCTCCTTTTTGTTTCCTCCTGCTTGACTTCTCACTTCTACACTTTCAACTTTAGTTACCACGTATGCAAACAGGAAGTCTTCTTTTTGTTTTCTTCTTCTTGACTTTTCCTTTTGTTTACTGTTTTAATATTATAGTTAGATAGCGCATAAAAATATTTGTGATTTGTCTAGCGAATAAAAAATTATAATTTGATTTTTTAATATGATTGAAGTTAGATAAATATAAACCATCACAGAGAGAAAAATGTGATTATAATTAGTCGAATGATTCTTTTTTTTTTAATGTGATTGTACTTAGTTTAATAGTTCTTTTTTTCATTTATTTATTTTATTATGGAAAAAATGTGATGTGATTGTAGTTTGTTCAATAACTCTTTTTTTTTAATATGATTGTTGTAGTTAGTTCAATGATTTTTTTAATGTTATTTAATCTTTTTATTTACTATTTTAATTTTATTTTTAATATGATTAAAGTTAAATAGACATAAACACTCACAAAGAAAAAAATGTGATTGTAATGTGATGTGATTGTAGTTTGTTCGATGGCCCTTTTTTTTAATATGATTGTTGTAGTTAGTTCAATGGTTTTTTTTTAATGTTATTTAATTTTTTTTATTTACTATTTTAATTTTATTTTTAATATGATTGAAGTTAGATAAATATAAACACACACAAAGAAAAAAATGTGATTATAGTTAGTTCAATGGTTCTTTTTTTTAAATGTGATTGTAGTTAGTCAATTGTTCTTTTTTTCATTTATTTATTTTTTTTATTATGGAAAAAATGTGATGTGATTGTAGTTTGTTCAATGGTTCTTTTTTTTAATGTGATTTAATCTTTTATTTACTGTTTTAATGGTTTTTCTTTACAATTATTTATGAAAAAAATATGATTGTAGTTAGATAGCATAAAAATATTTGTGATTTGATTTGATTTTTTTTCTGATTTGATTTTTAAAGTATCAATTATTGATAATGATTAGATTGTATTTTGAAAAAAAAATTGTAATTGATTTTTTCAAATCACTGTGTTTTTTGAAAAAAAAAAATTTGTTTTTTTAACTATCAATTCACTTAATTTGTGATTTGATTTTTAACTCACTGTGCTTTTTGAAAAACAAAATGGATTGTACTCATTAGGGTCACATAATGTACCAATTATTGATGATAATTAGATTGTATTTTGACCCCCAAAAAATTGTAATTGATCTTTTTAACTCACTATGTTTTTTGAAAAATAAATTATTGTGTTTTTTTAATTATTGATGATGATTAGATAGCATTAAAAAAATTGTGATTTGTATGATTGAAGTTATCTCCTTTTGTTTATAATTTGATTTTTTAATATGATTGAAATTAACTCACAAAAAGAAAAATGTGATTGTAGTTTGTTCAATGCCTCTAAATAATCCCAATCTGAATTTTCTAAATTTTTTATTAAAAAAAAACACAACATTTATTGATTTGGTCAAAATCCTTTGATCAGCATTTATTGACTTTTTTCAATCCACATGTCTTTCCACATGACTGCATTTATTTATTTGGTCAAAATTTCTTGATCAGCATATAAAATCCCCTCATACAAATAATTATAGATACAATCTGTGTATAGTTACTACCGTACCTTTTTCAACTTCTCTCATACATTATGATTAGTGATAAGATTGTTAAATTATTTTTATAAAAAAATCTTAAAAAAACATAGTTTATATATTAAAAAAAATCTAAAACAAATATAAATATCTATAATTATCCCGTACATAGCACGGGTGATAGCCTAGTACTACATATTAAGCAAAATGAGATTTTTCACCCCAAGCCTTATGGGAGCTCCAATCTCCCAATCTAAATTTCCTGATTTTTAGATTTTAAAAAAAAAAAATCTTAGCATTTATTAACTTCTCCCAACTCCCAAGTCTTACCCTCATAATAACACTTTAATGCATTAAGAACAAGCATAAAATAAATTCTTTGAAATCCAACACATATGAATTCCTTGAAAAGTCCCAACACATATGACTATTATCCCTCATAATAACACTTTAATGCATTAAGAACAAGCATAAAAATTTTTTTTTGAAAAGTCCAACACATATGATTATTATCAAAATATTAAACTTTAATATAATATAATAAAAAAAAGACATTTAATTCCTTGAAAAATCCAACACATATGATTACTATCAAAATATTAAACTTTAATATAATATAAAAAAGGAAAAAAAAGAAGACATTTAGAAAAAAAATTTAAAAATCACAATTCACATATATAGATAATTGTAAATACAATTCGTGCATAGCACGAGTAATATGCTAGTTTATTATATAAGTAAAAGTGGGTTTCTAACCACAAATATTGTGGGAGTTCCAATATCTCAAATTAAAATTTCTAATTTTTTGATTTTAAATGATTAAGAAAATCCTCTATAGCTCTCATTCAAGCAAATATATATATATATAAAATATCTCTAAATTTATGACTTTCAAATGAAAAGTATATCAAATATATAAAATAAAAAATAGAAAGTATACTAATCCATTTCAAAATTTAAATTTGAGGGCCACTAAATATGGAAAGCATTCCATTGATTTAAATTTAAAATTATAATGATTTATCCCATAATCTATAAGTTTTAAATAATGATTTATTGTATGATTTATCTATATATCTATATACTATTATAATTACAAAATATTATCATTTCATTAAGGTTGAAAGTTATAATTATTTTTTCTCATTTTTTTTTATTTTGCTCAATTTTTTGTTAATATGTGTTACAATATGATTGGTTAATAAATTAATTTTATATTCTTAAAATAAAATTTCAAATTTGGATTCTTACTTAATTTATTTTACTATAATTGGAATGAAATCAATATTCATTCCTTAAATTTTGCATCATTTATTAAATTATAAAATAAAATTTCAAATTTAAATTCTCTTTAATATTACGACAATTAGAATGAGATAAATATTCACATGTGTCATAATATTATTGGTCTAAATATAATTTGTTTTAAATACATGTGTTCAAATTATTAATGGCTATTAATTTTTTGGGTGAAGCACTAATAAATCTCAAAATATGATATTGTGAACTGTTTAGTCCTCCCTTTTTCTTATGAACCCAAAGGTGCTATTAAAGTGAAAATTACATAAAATGATAGTCATTTACATATATAGTTTAATTTTTTAGAGATAAAAATAAGTTTTTCAAAATGTAAATTACACATTTGAACAATTTGCATTATAAAAGTTTTGAATTTTCTCTCATTTTAGAACAAATTCCACATTACGAACAAAAATCTAATACTCTAATGTAACACTCCAATAACGTAACACTCATACTAAAAAACTTCTTGGTGTACTTTTTCCAAACGTAATAACGTAATACTAAAAAAAAAACTCTTTAGTATACTTTTTCCAAACATAACACTCCAATGTAACACACACAAAAAAAATTAGTATACTTTTCTCAAACGTAACACTCCAATCTGTGTAATCCCAAACATAATATTCCAATATAACATATTCCAATGTAACACACAAAAATGCAAAAAAAAAAAATTTAGTGTATTTTTTTCAAACGTAACACTCACAGTTTAAAATTATACATTTGGCCAAAACTTACTAAGGAATATTTATATTCCTTTTGGAACAGTTTGAAGAATCTCATATTCTTTTTTTTTTAGTGTTATATTAGAATGTTATGTTTAGAAAAAATACACTAAGAATTTTTTTGTATGTTACATTGAAGTGTTACGTTTGAGAAAAGTACACAAAATAGTTTTTTTATTTTTTTGTTTGTATTACATTAAAGTATTATACTAAGGAATTTTTTTAAGTGTTGTATTGAAATGTTACGTTTAGAAAAAGTACACTAAAGAGTTTTTTTGTGTGTTACATTAGAATGTTACATTAAGGAGTTTTTGTGTGTTGCATTAGAATATTACACTAAGGAGATTTTTTAGAGTATTATATTAGAGTGTTACATTTAGAAAAAATACACTAAGAAATTTTTTGTGTGCTACACTAAAGAGTTTTTGTGTGTGTTACATTAGAGTGTTACATTAAAGAATTTTTTTTGAGTGTTATATTAGAGTGTTACGTTTGGTAAAAATACAATAAAATTTTTTTTATGTGTGTTACATTAGAGTGTTATACTAAGGAGTTTTTTTGGAGTATTATATTAGAGTGTTACGTTTGAAAAAAATACAGTAAGGAGTTTTTTATGTATTACATTAGGGTATTACACTAAGATTTTTTTTAGTATTACATTGTAATGTTACGTTTGAGTGTTACGTTGGGGTATTACAGTTTGAAATTATAAATTTAGCCAAAACTTACCATATAGTTTTTGTACTCATTTTGAAATATTTGAAAAATCTCATATCCTTTTAGAATGTTTGAAAAATTTCATATTTTAAGTAATTTTTGTATTCCTTTTAAAATGTTTTCCAAATAAAAAAGATTTTTACATAAAAATTCATCCAAATTTTGATTCTCATATATTATATACCTTACCTTTATAGCGCAAAAAAAAAAAAAAAAAAAACCATAATAGAAATAAAGGTATAATCATAAATCTAACCTTTAAATAATATATTAAAATCTACCTTTCCAAAATCTATGGGACTAATTGGTCTATGTAAAAATCTTTAGGACTAAATGGATCAGCATTCCTCAAGATGGAATTTATAGGTAAATTTTCTTAATTTTTTTTTTCTTTTTTTTGTTTTAAATTTTATAAAAAAAAAATTATATCCTTCTAAACTATAAGGACTTGAACAATAATTTTTTTAATATAACTTTTTTTTTGACAAAAGAACAAAACATAACTTTTTTAGTACTTACCAAACATAGTGGATTTTGTTAGACTTTTTATTTATTTATTTAATCTCAATTGTCAATGAAAGAAATTAAAATATAGAATAAAGATATTTTTTAGCTCAAATTGTTAAAAAGTTAATTTTGCTAAAATAAATTAGACAGAAATGTTAATTTTTTTTAATTAAAAGTGATAGTTCGTTAAATTTTTTTTATTTAAAAAAGGGATTATAGGTGATAATTTATTGTTTATCTAAAATTATTTTCAGATTAAATGAAAATACCATATTTAATTTTCCTCTTACCTTTTTTTATTCAAATACTTTTATTTGTAAGAAATTTGTTTTTGTTCTATTTAATATTTTATTGTAATTTTTAAATTAAAAATAATTTCTAAAAAGTCATATTTAAATTATTTATGCCATTACAAAAGGTAAATTTTTTTAATATCAACTTACTGATAGTTTGGGAAGTACTAAATAAATATATTTTTTTACTTTTTACGAAAATATGTATAGAAAAATAAAGATGTGATATGACTAAAAAAAGATAATTAAATATACTTTTTTACTTTTTACGAAAAGATATGTAGAAAAGTAGAAATGTGATGTGATTAAAAAAAGATTAAAAAAAAAAAAAAAAAGTGAGCTAATATAGTAATATGGCACTTCCCAAACAATCTTTTATTCGATGATCCCTTTCTAAAAGGTATATTTTGTAAATGTTTTCAAGAAAAATTCTATTGGAAATCTTAAGTATATTATTTTTTCTTTTATTCATTAATATTAAATTTTTAATAAATTTTATTTATTATTTAAAAAATAAATTAGCAAATAATTTATATATTTATATACATAATTTTGTTTTGATTTCTCAGGTTATTTGGTGTTTCTACCCAAGTTCACTTATATTTAATTTGAATTTTTAAAATTTTGTATAAGTCCTCATTTAATTAAAAAATTATGTTATTAAATCTTTAAAAATTTTCAAACTCGACTCAAATTGTTTGGGTTGAGCTCACCTAAGTTTGCAGTTCTAGCAATGGGGGGTTGAAAATTACATGATTAAATTTGTGACAAATTAAAAAACAATAAATAAATTGTGATAAAATTATGGGACTTAAACTATAAATTTCAATTTTCTTTGTTTGCTTAATTTGAACACAAAAAATTAATTATTTATATTATTTTGTATAAAAATACATTATTAATTTTTTTTTGCATGCTTTGCATAGCACGTTTTATCATTAGTTTATAAATAATGCAATGTACTTAGAATTTTTATTTAAAAAATTTTGCGCAATAAATGCGATCGTTGATGTTGTTTTCTGAGTACATTCCGAATAGTTTTTTATTTTTTATTTTTTTATGAAACATTGTTGTTTATTTATTTATATATAGCTTAATTACAATTTGTTTTTTATATCTAATTTTGTGTTGCAGTATTCAATGGATTTTGTATATCTCAGTGTGGTGATATTATTTTCATCATGGACAGGTATGAACTAATTAATATTAATTATTCATTTTTTTAAAAATTAGGTTTTTTTTTTTTTTAGTTTTTTTTAATATATTAAGGTGTGTGTATATTAATGTGAATATGCCTGTGTAGAGGTGGCATGTTGGATGCATACAGGAGAGAGGCAAGCGGCGAAGATGAGGATGGAATATCTACGCTCCATGTTAAATCAAGACATTAGTGCTTTCGACACCGATGCTTCTTCCACCGGTGAAGTCATTTCTGCTATTACTAGTGACATCATTGTTGTTCAAGATGCCATTTCCGAGAAGGTATGACTCTATTTTTTTTATTTATTTTTTGAAAAATATTATTGTTACAAACTTTTAAAATTTGATCTCTGAACTATCCAATTCAAAATATTGTGGAATGACTATAGAGCCTACAGCGAATCCCATTGTTATGAGGCTTACAATCCCTGCCCGCTATTTTTGAACTATACAGTACAATCAATTGGAGATAAATTTTTTCATCAGAATAGCATGACTGTTATATTTTTGTTATTAAAAGTCATTTTAATAGAGATATATTGTGTTTTGAAATAATAACTCCCCATACAATCAAGTAATTTTGTATATTTTTCTTTTTGTATATCATTACTCTTCTTCTTTATATATTAGGAGTGTGGAAATATTTGTTTGCAAAGAAAATATATTATAGACCTAACCGAATTGGGGTTCAATCACATTAGTCATATTAATTGTCACCAATTTCTTATGATAACACTGCACTCATCTAGAATATATGCAGTACCATTAATACTGCATTCTAAGTATTTTTTTTTTTTTAAGAAAAGAATAAGATATGTCTATATATATGTATAATTTAAAAAAAAAAAAAATTACTACGGGCTTGTCTTGTTTCCTAATCCCAATTATAAGAAAAATTATTAAGTATTCCTAAAGTATCACATGTCTATACTCTTTTATTAATTATCACTCATCATGTCCTCTCACGGTCCACTATCGTCCAACACAAAATCGTAAGTCTCACTTTCTTCACCAATTATAATATCCTAATAACTTCCCCAATTATAAGGGGAAATTTTGAAATTTCATTAGGAATTAAGAGAAAATCTTCATTAAAGAGACAACTAGAAGAGTAGGACTTGGGGTCACTGCTGTGTCAATGGCACAGCAGTGATTGTTGTGCCTCATTTTGAAATGCATTATGAGCTTATTTTTATGATCTGAACCGTTCATTTTTTATGATTTGTTGAGTACTTCAAGCCTACCAAAAATCATATTAATCGGATATCAATAACTACATGATCGAATTGCATATTTTTATACTATTTTTCAAAAGAAAAACTTGTTTATTTTTTTGGTTATCAATCATATAGTTATTGGTATCCGATTAATATGATTTTTGGTAGGCATGAATTACTCAACAAACCTTACAACATGAACGGTTCAGATTATAAAAATAAATCCATAATGCATCACAAAATGAAGTACAACAGTCAAAGGTACAGCAGTGACCTCAATTCCAGAAGGAGTAGGTCTCACAATTAAATTTTCCGCTGTCATTAATACCCTTTCCTACTTCTATTAATTAAGGGGCAGTGGCACCCCAAATTTATCAGGACCCAACATTTAAGTCCCTCAATGTTGTCAAAAGAACAAGCTAAAAGCATTTAATTCAACAGGACCCAACATTTAATTCAAGCATTTAATTCAAAGCATTTAATTCAAATTTTGGTAATAAGCCCCTCAATTTTAAACTTTATTGTCAAAAAAACAAGCTAAAAGTATTTAATTCATTACGAAAAAGTTTAAATTATTTAAAAGATATGGCAATAATACCCTCAACTTCTATCATTTTCTTACATTAACACAAACCGACCATTGTCTACTATCACTGACCACTGTCGGGCACCGTTGATCGCCCCGGCCGACGACGATTTTTTGGTGACCACTATTAGTTCGCAAAAATTTGCTGACAAGGTTCTCTGATGAAAGTAAAATTTTACTATTATTGTTATCTTTCCATCACACTTACTATAATTATTACCATTAGTCATAGTATTAAATGAGAAATCAGTCAAAACATTGAATTAATAACGATAACAGTAAAATTTTACTATTTCGCTATTAAACATACTAAAATAACATTTTTGCTTGAGATCTCAAAATCAATATTCAAATTGACAATGACAAAAAAATGCACTAAAATAAAAATATATACATGTAGAGAGAGAGAGAGAAAAGAAATAGAGAGATAGAGAGAGTGCATATATTGCTTCAGATCTAGTTCAAACTAAAGCAAAATTTTGTTGTCTAAAAAACAGAGAATCTTGAGGAGACAAAAAGAAAGAGAGGGCGAGAATAAAGATTTGAGGTGATAGATCTCAGATTTGAGGTCGTCAATCTCAGATCTGAGGTCTTGGCACCGATGGTTGTGACGGTAATGGTGGAAATGGTAGTGGTGGTGGCTGTGATGAACAACGCTGGTAGTTGAGATGGTGGTGGTAAAGATAGTAAATGTGGTGGAAATGGTGGTGGTTGTGGTATTGGTGGTAATGGAGATGGTGGTAGTGATAGTGTAAACAGTGGTGGTGGTGGTGGTGGTGGTGAGAGCTCTTAGAAAGAGATAGATAGAGAGAGTTGAGACAGATTGAGAGAGAGAAAAAGGAGAAAGATGGAGAGAGAGTGTGTGTGTGAAGAGTCAAATTTGTCACACAGTATAAATTTGAAAATTTTTGTATTTGTCACACAGAATATAAATTTGAAATTTTTTGTTCTTACAAGATTTCTTTATTTTGGAGGAGTTTATAAGCTAAAAAATTAAAATTTATCCTTTTCAATAAAAACGGGGTCTAGGAAGGAGTTATGGCCAAAAATCTCTTTTTATTTTCCAATCTTACGCAACCTTATTCAGATCAACAGCTCTTACAAGAAATTTTTTTAAAGGCCATTGATAGACCTATACAGTAAACTCTTAGCCTCCATTTGGGAAGTGGGTTGGCTTTTTGGCTTTTTTGACTATATGAGCCTGGGCTCAAAAGCTTAGTTTGGGAAGGACTTTTGACTTTTTGGCTTTTTTGATTTTTTTGTGAGAGAAGAGTGTAATGATTATCGGGTTGGATGGGATGTTTTGTCTGTTGTGGCTCATGAGCCTATTCTGTCTTTTATGGCTCATTGAGCCAAAAAAGGCCAATGAGCCCTTGCCAAACCAACCCTTAATGATATTTGAAAATTACGTCCTTTTCTTATCCTTGTATTTCAGTAATCTTTGAGAGCCCCCCCAAAAAAGAAAAATCTCTCACCCATCCGATTTCTCAACTAGTGGTGGGTTTGGGTTTAAGTTTCTGTTTAGTTAACTTGGTTCGGTTAATCATGGAATTGAGAGGATCAAGTTCGGTTTTGTTTAGTTAATCGAGTATTAATTTGCTTCTTATTAATGAAAATTAAAATTAATTATGTCCAATTATACCAATTAAAAAATATAAAAAGTATGTTAGAAAAATAAAGTTTATGAAATAGTTTTTTTAATGTAATATGATATTATATTTTTCTTACATTCCCACTTAAATGAAAATTTTCCACGAAACATCTAGGATTTTGAAAATTTGTAAAAGTATTTAAATTCCTTTTTCCTTGAGAAAACCCAAAAAGAATCACTCTCATAGCTCACACTTTGTAATTAATGGTCACTACACAACCCTTTGACATTCAACCAACAAAAGCATTTTTGGAAGCCTTCTCGTCTTTCCCATTCAACTATGTTACAAACTTATTATTCAATGATATTGTAAGACTGCGAATTCTAATAGATTGTAAAATTTTCTCAGAAAAATGAAAATAATCTTGGTTTGTACAACATGTTCTGATTCGCAGGACCGTGTCACGACACTCATTCTTGTTTTGAGCTTGCTTCCAGCTCTAGTGCTAACTTGCAGCGATTTGAGTGAATTCAATGTTCTTGATTACGGAGCTGTCGGCGATGGCATGGCAAATGACACCCTTGTAATTTTTTATTTTTTTGAAATTTCATTTTGGGTCACTATTAGATTTTCTTGAGACTGAGAAATTTTTGACATTTTTTTGAATGTGATTTTGTAGGCATTTGTAGAGGCTTGGAACAAAACATGTAATGCAGAGAGTGAGGATGCAAGTATGGTTGTTCCAGAGGGAATGACATTTCTGGTGTATCCCATGGCATTTGTTGGCCCTTGCAACCCCACCTACATCACCTTTTTGGTAGAAGAGTTTGAATTTTGTGACAATTTTTGAGTCCTTTGACACTGCTACGAACCCAGAAAAAATTTCATAGAAAAAGTGTCTTGTTGGACTGCATTCATCTTGTTGTGCAGTGGACTCAATCTGGGCTGAAAGCAATGCTAACAATCAACTTTTTGAGCACTTTTTTCATTGTTTTCCTCTTTAATTATTTTCACTACCTATAATTTCATTATTTCACAAGAAAGTGCCAACACTGCATTCATTTGGCGGAGTGTGGGCTCCATCTAGGGTGAATGCAGTGCGGTGTTTTCATATTTCATTAATTTTGTAGTTCATACTTTGTGCGACTTCTTTCTCAGAAGCATAGCATTCTGAACACTTCTGAAAAAAATTATGGGATTTTATTGTTTTCCTATTGAACACTTCTCTTAAAAAGTTAGTTGAGTGACTTCATCTTTCTATTTCCATCTTTGTTCATACTTTGTGCGACTTCTTTCTCAGAAGCATAGCATTCTGAACACTTTTGAAAAAAATTATGGGATTTCATTGTTTTCCTATTGAACACTTCTCTTAAAAAGTTAGTTGAGTGACTTCATCTTTCTATTTCCATCTTTGTTCATACTTTGTGCGACTTCTTTCTCAGAAGCATAGCATTCTGAACACTTTTGAAAAAAATTATGGGATTTCATTGTTTTCCTATTGAACACTTCTCTTAAAAAGTTAGTTGAGTGACTTCATCTTTCTATTTCCATCTTTGTTCATACTTTGTGCGACTTCTTTCTCAGAAGCATAGCATTCTGAACACTTTTGAAAAAAATTATGGGATTTCATTGTTTTCCTATTGAACACTTCTCTTAAAAAGTTAGTTGAGTGACTTCATCTTTCTATTTCCATCTTTGTTCATACTTTGTGCGACTTCTTTCTCAGAAGCATAGCATTCTGAACACTTTTGAAAAAAATTATGGGATTTCATTGTTTTCCTATTGAACACTTCTCTTAAAAAGTTAGTTGAGTGACTTCATCTTTCTATTTCCATCTTTGTTCATACTTTGTGCGACTTCTTTCTCAGAAGCATAGCATTCTGAACA